CCCAGTGCTATGTTTTATAACGCTTGGCTCAGCCTAGCTCTGCCTGACTCAGACAACAGAAGCCAAACCCACTTCTTGGGAATCTTCTCAATTTTTCTAAATATTTCACTTTGTGGAATTTTCCCCAGTATTCCACCCAGAACAATTCAATGCAGTATGTATAAAGATAGTTCAATATCATGCTTGTTATCCTGTTGATTTGCTATTTATCCCTTTCGACAACCCTAAGTAATTTCTCAGCCAGTGTGGTGGTGATATACCTCTAACACCTGTCTACAGTCATGCTCCTCACCATTTGGACACATTATAGCTGTGCTCTGCAGTGACTCAGCCTTCACAAGCAAATTCTTTCAGATGTTTTCATGTCTGTCCCTTCCTCTCTGTACTCAAGACATCATTATTACACTTGAGGAAAAGGACAAGGAAAAGTGAAGAGGAGAAAGAAGTGCAGACACTAAAATGCCTTTCTTCATGCTACCCCAGCTGTGCAGGCATAGGAAGATCCATCTAAATACCTGGCCCACACACATCATTTAATTCTTACCAGGATTTATGATAAAGGTATTGTTCAAGATGATGAAGAGAGAGAGTCCTCTTGAAGGATTTTGTTTCCGGAATCTACTCCCAAGGGATTGTACAAGCAGTGTCACAATCAAACAGTTACAGAGGAGAACTGTGTTTAAAGGAATCGATCTGAGATCCCCATAGCACTTGTTTTCTTTGCATATTATCATTTGTGCTTTAAAAGAAAGAAAAAACATACAAAACACTGTTATTCCCTCATCAAAGCAGCCTTTCGGATTCCTAAAGCTTTTCCAAAACATATAGACTTTGTTGATTGTTGTTTTTTAAAATGATCCTAAAACGGCCTTCAAACTCAAAGTGGTAGAGGAATATGCACACAGATACTTTAAAATTAAAAAACTTTTACAGTTTAAGAAATATCTGTGATTTTTTTCTTTTAAATTTTTACTTTCTGACCAAATCAAGATTTTTTTCAGCATTTGAAGTCTCTTAACATCTAAAGCAGAACAGTGAACACAGTAACGTACCACAGCTTATTTTATGTGTTAAAAATGTCATCAACTGTTGCATACAATCATCTCTCTGAAATAAAGCTCTGAAATACACAGAAGTAGAAGTCCTACCATAGCAAGACTAAGCTGCTCTTTATACAAGGTTCTTCTGGGGTAAATTCCCATCCTAGAAGCAGCTTACCCTCATGACACTATTCACTAAGTGATCATTATTCTAATTTTACTCCTGAGGAAACATAGGCAAGTAAGACAAACCATTTACCTAAAACCATAGAGTAACTCAGGTGCATTTTGCTGACCTGTGTAAACTCAGTGCATTGCTTTAATAAGTAGAATAAACTCTCTCCACATTAGGAGAAACTTTTTTTCAAGTTAATACTTTTCTGAGCAGAGCACATGTATTTTAACACACTGGTACCTTTGCCAGAAAGCAAGACTGCGTTGCGTTTTTTTTTCCTTCCACCACTACAAAGTGTGGTCATATGCAAGTGAACTTTGGCCTGTCTACAGGATTTTCAATAGTAAGAGGTTCTAGCAATAGCTGTGCTCTCTATAGGATATATACAGCACTTGGGTCAGCCTGTTTACAAAATAACTTGTGATTATCAAGGCAGTACTCAGCAGCTATGATGATATTTTACCAGACTATAATTAAAGACAGACATAAAGCCATATAAAATAAGGAAGCAGTGGCACTTAATAAAGCTGTTCAGGATTGGGAAGAGGTTAGGGTTCTGACTCTCAGTCCCTTGGAGATCAGCTAACCAGGTTTATTCTGATCAAGAATTAAAACATCAAACTAAACATCTGCTGAGGACAGTCAGCTCACACCCTCAGGAAAAGAGTGAATTTTGTAACAAAACACACCAGAGTTTGAATGGTGAAATGAATCATTGTAAAGGGAAAGCCAAAAATAAAAATCTAATTGAGCTTGATAATTTGTACATAAAATGATGTGCCACTATACCAATAGCTGTGTAAAGCACATCCTTACCCCTCAGAAAATGGCTGAACCTCTCCTTCCCCTCCTAAATACACATACTGCATTAATACTTGGCATGATGTGTCAGGATTGACTTCCAATTTGTCTAGACCCTGCAATTCACAAAACATGGCCTTCTTCAGGCAGTGTCTATTCCTAAATGACAGAGCACAGATTGGTAGGAAAGTGCCTATTTCTGTCCCACCTATGGAGAGGAGAAGGCTGTATTTTCTGGAACAAAATAGTTACACTAACACTCCAAGCAAGCAATGGTTTATCCTAATACTAGGATATACTCCAATAACGGCTGAATCATTGTTATTTTATGAAGTCTCAGGGGAGGGGAAACAGCCATTTTTGAGAAGACCTAGTTCTAGCAAATGAGTACTAAAGAAGAAGGTTCATGAAAAATTAGGCAGGGGAACCTTTCTTGTACTTACACTGCTCTTTTTAATAAAAAGTTAACATTTTTCTACTCCATCCACTTTGCTTTTGCAAATGCTGTGAAGAGATGAAAATCAACAATTCAGTCCACTTGTTTCACATCTGCTTACTTCACAGCCACTTCCATCAGTTTCTCTCCCTTTTTGGATATGCTCCTGTAACTATCTTCCCAAAGTACGTCCCCAGGGTGATGCTTTAATTCTCGAGCAGGTTTGCTCTGGCAGGTTGCAAAGGGGATCATTATAGATGAGTAGACAAACAAGCCTTTCGCTTTCCTGTTCTCGACAGGAACTTCTTGAAAATCCATAAATAGCTAGGTGGCTTGGTGTAGACAAGGAAAAACAGATCCGATCCCCAAGCCTAATTATCTAATATTACACTGCTGAGTCCATATCTATGTCTAGCAAGGTGGCACACTAATATGCAGAATACCTGTAGCATTCACTGCCCTCAGTAGGCTCTGTAGATCCTCAGTCCTTAAGTAGGCTAAATGTGGATTCAGAAGCGTAAGCATGGCCAGTCACACTGTACTTTAATATATCATTACATGTATACTTATAACCAGGTCTCCACACACACACACAGTTTAAGGCCATGCATACCTACTTTACTGGAGCAGGACCATAATTCACTTTTTGATGCATGCACACTTTCTCGCCCCTGCATGTTCATGCTGTCAAAGCTTTAAGTGTTTCAGAGGAACAAAAAAAAGATGCTGTTGATTTTTCATCTTAAATTACAGAGAAAACATTTTTATTGATCTTTGGTTTAATTTTAGAAGACATCAAGTTCTTGCCTACAAAGCTGTTGTAAGTACAATCACCAGCTGTCCAAAGCTGCCACAGTTAATTCTGCTAAAGAGGTTCAGAACCGGTCTTTCTCTCCACCAAAGCAAGAAACTGAGCAACTTCACCCGTCGCAGCCATAGCCAGAAACACAGTGTCAGGTAGCAGCAACCTTCCTACTACGGGCAATTCCCTCTCCTGCCTAGTACGTGGCTCCATGCCACTCTTCTTCCTCAAGAGGAATCCAAGGGAACCAGACCACTTCCCCTGGGCTGCGCGCACACAGCCCAGGAACCCAGTACCTCTCAGAGGGCTCATCACAGGCTCTGTATACTTCAGTACCAGTCAGGTCACAATGCACAGACAACACATGGAACACTAAAATGCCATAGGCACATTAGAGTTGAGCAAAGTTTTAAGTTACTAAAAAGATTTTAAATTAGAATGAGAATCTTACCACAGTCAACAAAATGCTATGGAAGTTAGGAAAATATATATATCTCTCCTCTGTACTGTAGTGGTAAGAACTCAGGTGCTTCTCTCACACCACCACAGATCACCTAAAATCACCTTCTCTTAAAGCTTAGAAAACCAGGTGACACTCACTAAGGAACATGAAGAACTACACAGCTCACCAGAAACACCTTTAATACAATCAGCACCTCTTCAATTAATAACCTTGGTGAAGTACAGTTGTTGAGCTGTTACAAATTTATGTAGATCCACTCATTTCAATGATCACAGATCCCTTCAAATACACTTACATCTGAACAAGCTTGGTTTAGAAATGTCAGTAGGTTAGTACTCCTCCCTACTTCAGAATGCCTCTGTACACAAAAATCAAGCATACCGCAAGATAACTGTGCAATACTTTTTGCTCTAGTCACTCTACATTTTTAATAGCTCTCCTTTACTACCTCAAGGATGTTCCTCTAAACTTACATGGTCTGGAAATTATAAGATGCTGTTTCAGGGCATACACAGGCAAGATGCACACTTGGCCAGGCAGAGCAGCACAGCTGCATTCTGTACTTTCTATTCCCCGACAGGAAGAATGGTAGATGTACACAATCATTAATATTAGCAACACTGAAGGAGCCTAGTGATAAAACCATATACTGAATACCAGTAAAACTGTTCATCACCTTATGAAGTATTTCATACATGTCCTCCAGGCAATCAAAATAAATTCAAAATCCTTTTATTACAGTAAACTTACAATACTGTATTTTAATTAGTGGGGGCTCTCAAACTGGAAAAGTTTGAGCCTTCATATTTCATCCTCTTCTGTTGCAGCATCTAAATATTCAAGGTACAATGAAAGTGCTGTGGGCAGGCAATGGACCATGAAATATTGTCCAGTGTAGAACGCAGAACAATAGATTCTAACAGCAACTTCAAAAAAAAAAAGAAAACCCAAACAAAACGAAAAAAACCTAAAGCCACCTGAAGTGAAACTCATTGTAATAGGCAAGATGACAAGCAGCAGTAGAAGTAGGAAACCTTACTTTTTTGTGGCCACATGCAAAACAGTGTTGATATTAATCCAAGAAAGTAAAACAGACAATGAAAAAAATCAAACAATCTTCCAGATCCAGAAAACTGAAACAGCTACAGGTGTTTGCAAGAAAAACACTGAGCACTTATTTTTTTACTATTGTTTTTACTACTTGGGTAAGAGAGGGCTCTTACATGCTACAATATACAGTATATTTAAATTACAGAAATTCAAAACGAATAAAACCACAAAGACCCAAGTGCACTCCCAAGATGGACTCCAGTATTTCAGTTTCTTGTGCCCCACACACAGCTCACATGCCAAGCCCTCTCCAGCTGGGAACAGAAAGCCTGGGTTACAGCTGTTCTCCAGCATTTCCAGAGTAGTTCATTATATTGCCCAAGTGGTACTATTTCTTCTTGAGAGCTCTCTTTCCTTCCCCCTTCTTTGGTTTTTCCTTCCCACGGAGCTTTTTCAATCGCCTCATCTCCTCTTTAAAGTCCTGATGCTCATCCCTAGGTGGGGGAGGAAAGAAAAAAGTTTACTCTATTTCTTGGAATACCTAGATGTGAAAGGTTCTTTGAACTGTATAATAATGAAAAAAACCCTCAAAACTTTTTCTGACAGTGAAGTCCATATTGAAACTCACTGCAATGTATTCAATGTTACTGCTAGCAGTAATTCTGGACTGAATAACATGAAAGATTTCTTCCAGTACTTTCAGAACTAACAAGGTTGCCCTTTTCAGCAACAAATGGTGTGTGCATATATATATTACTTCCATTGCACTTATCGATCCACTGTGTGTGAATGAGCAGTAAAATATAAAAATCACAAAAAGACAAGAATGAGAATTTCCCCCTCCTCATCTAGCTCAGCAGTCTAGCAATAGCACATTGTGTTTCTGTGCTAGATACTAAGCTCAGGTCATTAGCTTCTAAAACAGGGGTACACTGAGCAGTAATGACAGTACATGACACTGCTCTCAGGTGACTTCAAGAATGAGTTATGAAGAAGGCATCAGCTACTGGTAGAATCTTAACAGAAGAATAAAACAGGAAGGAGGATAGAGGGGCTGGCAGAGATAATGAATCCTCAACAATGTTCTAAAATTCTATTTAATCTCTGTCCCTGTATTTTTCAGTGCAAAGGTGTTTTTCAAAGATCACACCTGCATCCTAAGTAGCCTAAGATGCTGCACTGCTATTTTTAAACACAACTTCACTAAAAAAGAAACAAAAAGCTTGTGCATTATTACCAGCCCCTATTAGTCTATGACTCTTCATTATATATTTGACCAGCAAAACCTGATCCTCTACAAGCTCTTTGTATACAAAGCAGCTAGAGAAGGAACTTGAGATTAGGAGGGGAAGAAGAGTAAAGAACATTATCATGTCATTGAGGCTTTCTGTATCAACAAACAGCTATTCTAGAAAATATCTGCATGCTCACCTAATCAAAGAGCATGCTGGATGCAATCCTTGATGGTCAACATTGTGATAGAGCAATAGAAATTAATCTGTTTTGACTTTACAAGGTCAGCAGCCTCACTTTTAAGGGTTTTCTTTAGTGCTACCTGACTGAAGTCAACGAACTGCATTTGACTCCTGCTGATGTTCCTTTAGCAGTGCAGTTTTTCCTACTCAAGACTGTGGAAATTCATTTAGAAATTAAGACAACTGGTTTGGATGAAGCTGGAATTAACAAGGCTATTTAAACCACATTTGAATTTAATTTAATTATTTTAAAGGATAAAAAGCTCCTCCAGCCTAACACAGACTTTCCTTGTCTTCTAAATTTTAGATATTAGCTGTTAAGTGATTGAAGAATATATGGTAAGACTGTCTTCGTGCAATTTTTTGAGTTAAGGTAGCATCACCTTTTTGTAGCACATTCATTTGCCATATTCAGAACTACAGACCCATCTCTTGTCTACAAGAAAGCTCTCTTACCCTTCCCCACAAAGCCAAAGCAAGAACTATTTCCGATATAACTGGTTGCCCATAACTACATCTAAAGTCTTTCTCACAAAAGGTTCTAATTATGGTAAAAGTTACTTAGACAGTAGTCACTTATTTTACTCTCCTTGTCCTCAGTGCAACAATCAAGTACATCTTTCCATATGCACCATATTCTAACTAAACTCTTTTCTATGTTCCCCTTTCCTTTAAGGAAAAAAAACTGTAACGGAACTCACACCCACCCCTTTCCCACCTTCAGTCCTGCTCCCACCCTACAAGCACAGATATTACCTGTAGAGACCAAAGTAACGGAGTTTCTTCATGAGGGCATAGTAGGTGTTGTGAGGTGGATACCAGCTGTAGACCTCCTTCTGCTTGGCCAAAGGCTGCTCACTGAATAACTTCACTACTTTCATTGATTTCGAGTCAGTTGGCCTGACAACTTCTCCGAATATCTGAGCACTCAGCCGGGCCATTCGAAGGGCATAACTGGAAACATTAGACATCTCCCAAGGAAGAGCAGGCACACATAGACAGATGGATCTTACTGCAAAAGGAAACACAAGAGAACCACAACTCTAAGATGACTGAATATTGCAAGGTATCCCAGAATTAAGGCAAACAAAACAACTCATTGTACACTGATCACATGTTTGAAGTCACACACACCTTGCATGAAATCAGTCTAACTCTTAGTACATAATCCTGCATATAAAGAATGTCTACGCTAAGGTACAGCTACCAGCCTAACTAGGCACTACAGACAGCAATACGGACTATAAAAGTACCTACACTGAAAGACAATTTACCATAGTTTATTAGCAGATCCCACTCAGCTTGCTTAAGGCTACCTTTAAACTCCAGTCACAGGAACAATTATGGTGTGAACTCTGTCAAAAATGGTGCCAACTGCAATGCCTCTGACTTCTACGCAAGCACAAGGTAAGACACCATTTAAACATATTGAGGAAGCAACCTGGAAGTTTTTCCTCATGAAAATGTCTCACCCTGTTTAAAACACTGTATGAACATTGTTACAGTCCACCTAGCAAAAACAGCCTATTAACTGTAAAAATAAATAAAATCAATCGTTTCTCTATATGAATCATATAGATCTTTCCCATCTCAACTCCCTTCCCTTGATCATTTCCATCAGCTTTTTCTCCATTCTCTTTTCAGTCTCTCCTGATATTGATTCTTTTTAAGAGAAGAAAGAAATCATTTCCCTGTGCTAGATTTTTTTTTTCCCAATAAAATCCCACATCAGCAGCTTCCCATTCTCTTTCAGCCACTTCCTACCTAAAGACACCTCTGCAACAAAAATGCTCCGAGGACAAAATCATTGTTACTAGGCCACCAGAGACAACATCCACACTCTTTTAAAGGATTATGAAGGGTTTTCTCTTAGGTTTCCTAGCCCTCCCCATTTTTGCTGCTCTTTTAATCTTTACTGTATTCTTTCTTTGCAGAATAGGATGTAATAGACAAGAATAAGATTCCCATAATCCTGTATTTGAAGCTGTACATTGCCTGTACTGTGCCTTTTTGAATAAGTGATGACATAAGTCTCCAGAGAAATTAAGTGGGGTTCATTCAAGTGCACTACACTTACGTTAAAGTTTAAAATTCTTGTTTTAAGAAGTATTGCACAGCTGATTCCAGAAGATGAGCATAAAAAATTAAAGAGCATGGAGCAGGGACAAGAGTAATCAGCAGGACAGGGCTAAGTCCATTTTAGTATGACAACAGGGAGCCTGTTGTTTAATAACACAGATCTGAAGTATTCATAACCTCACTATGTCTGCCCACTGGAGGACCTGATATACAACTGTCTACTTTGATTTGCTCCTGTTAGCAAAGCACTAGAAAGGAAGCAAGGGGGAAAAAATCAAGCATGAAAATAATACAAGTAATCTGAGTCAAAGAGAATAATGGGAAAAGTAATTAAGGGAAGGCAACGTGTCAGAGATCTCCAGTTAAGGCAGCAGGCCTAGTGTGAGAAGATAGAAGCTCTTAAATGATTGCAGTGCAGCACTTCAATGTGAACATCTATTACGTTGGGGAATGATCTCCAAGTCTTGCTAAATCACCCATTTCAGAACAGCCAGTCCTAACTCCTACATTCATAGATAAAGCAACAAATTGTCCCCAAAACTCTTCGTCACATCATCACTCTGAAAATATCACCAGACTCAACTCGGATGCAAAGCTTGCTTAACCTCTTCCAACTGCAGCCTTAAAATAAAAATACCTTTGGCTCCTAAACAATGAAAACTAGTGGTCTGAGGGACCTGCTTTTCACTTCAGAATTGCTAAAGGAATCCAAATAGCCCGAGCCAAGGCTGGAGACCTCCATTAATCCTTACCAGCCTAAGAACATTTGAGACATAAGAAAGGCGAAGGCTACAAACTCCCCAGTGCCGGAGCTATCCAAAGCCTGTTTTAGGGTGACCTCCGATTCTGTGGATGCTACCAGAAGAACAGTTTTGTTCTTGTCACTCACAGCAATGATACTTTCAGGATCATCTACTGGTAATTAACACCCCTAAACCAAGACCACCACGCAGTGCTGCTCCTTCACCTGCTCCCCAAAGCCCTGCTTTCCCATCCTAGGCTGGGATTTTTCCTCCCAATCCGCTAGCTCGTCTCACTTCGCATATGCCAGGAGAACCTTCTGCTTCCAGAACTCCTCCTGGCTGTTCCGTGCCCACACAGGGAAAAGCAGGCCGCCCCGGGCCGCCGCCCGGCCAGAGGGGCACCCGAGCCGGGCACGGCCCATTGCCGCCCTCCAGCAAGCCCTGCCGCCCCCCGCTCCGCGGCGGCCTCGCTCCCCTCCAGGAGGGCGACCCGGGAAACCCACCCGGGGGCTCCGACCGCACCTCGGCGTGGCCCCAGCCACCTCCCCGGTGCCAGAGGCCTGCGCTACCCGCCCGGCAGCCCCAGCGGGGCCCGGGATCCCGCCCCAGGGCCCGGGAGGCGGCGCAGGCTCGGCCGAACCCCCCCGGGACGAGCGCCCGGAGCCCATTTCCCCCCTTTCTGCTTCACGGCCCCCGGCAGCGCCCCGGGCTGACCCGCGGGCAGAGCGGCGCAGCTCGGCAGGGCGTCCGCGGCGGCGCATGCGCAGTGGCTTCCCCGCCGAGGCGTCGCGGCGGGTGACGTCGGGCTCTGTGAGGCGCGGGGCGGGGCGGCTCGGTGGTCGCCGCCGCCGCCCGCTCCCCCCTGGCGAGCTGACCCGTCTCTTCTTTCCCCGCACCATACGGCCTTTTGTCGGGGTGCTCGGAGGCGATGCGGGTCCCCTGCCCGCGCCTCGTGGTCACTCGCCTTGGAGTGAGGGCCCAGGGGAGCGGCGGGAAACCCCTGAGGCGTGAGGCCAGGCACCGGGTCCCCCCCCCAGGCGCAGCTCGTGGGGGGGCCTCTGGCTCCCCACGAGCCCACTTCACAGGAGCCTTCCCGGTGCTCGATTTATGCTAATTTTTAATCAGTGCCAGGAGGTGCTAAATCAGACTCCCTGCAAACATCTGAGTAAATGGCAATTATGTGATTACATTTATAAGCCAAATGAGTAACGCCATCAGAGAATGAAAGCGGGTTTGTCTGGCTAGATCTGTTTTCTGGAAGAGCGTACACTGGCTGGCATTAAATAGGTTGTTATTCCTTTGTCCTTCCTTGATTAATTTTCTGTCACCTTTTCCGTGCTTGTCCTGGGCAGATCAGCCCCGCGGCCTAGGCACCCAGGCCACCTCTCTTGCCCTTTCTGAACGTTGGCATGATCTTCCATAATTTCTTTCATATTCCAAGATCTATTAAAAACTAACATTCCTGGGATTTCTTTAGCCGGTTCTTCAAAAATTGTTATACAAAAGTTCTCTAAACATCCTGATTTTAAAATGTTTGTTCCAGTAGATGTTGTTTACCATCTTCATTACGTTCTGATGGACTGAAAAGTGCTTTTTTTTTTTTTTAAGTAGATAGTAAAGGGCCTCTTAATCTTTCTGAGGAGGGAGTAGAAGTTTTTACCATTTCTGCCACTTCTGTGATATTTTGCCATCTCTACCTACTCGTATACCTCGGCATTGTTGCACTCCCCATTTTACAGTCTGTGGTCACATTACATTTGCATTTTCTGTAGTCTTCATTTTTTTTATACTCCAGAACATTTTTTCCTATATTTTTGCCTTTCCACATTGTGCAATACTATGCTTTTAACTTCTGAGTGTTTCATTCCTTCACCCTGCTTCTGAGCCAAAATTGTCCTTCAGCCAAAATTGGCCATTTTGTTAATTATGCAATCATGACTTAGACTATGGAGTAAGAGCATAAGAATTCTCATTTATATTTCTACCTCTATTTTTGAACCGTATTTTTGTCATCATTTCTCTCATCTTGATGGAGATAGTCTTTCTGAAGTATCTCTGTGTAGGAGAGTATTTCCTTGGCTGGGACTGTCCTTTTTCATTTGTTATAATCAAATTGTGATTGCTGGCTCCTAAGCAACCACCGCTTTTTTTGTCCCATGATTAAATTGTTTAAACATTATGAGTTCCAAACTACTTATTCCAGATAGACTGGAATAACTTCTGTCATAGAAAATAAGTTCTGGAAAATCTAATGAGACATGGCTGCTGGCTATTTGGTTTTTTTTTCTCATACAGCTCCAAATCGAGCACATTTTTTCTAGAATTTTTTTGAGGAATAAGCAGTCTAATTTTCAGTAGCCATCTCCACTCCATTCCACCCCTCTTTAGTAGGGTTAATTGGGACAAGTTACTGTCTCTGCACCTCTAAAATAATGGTGGTGGTGGTTTAATATGTACTTTCACCTTCTCACATCTTCAAATTTCTTTATTTGTTTAAAAGGGTTGTGGCAAAATATTTTAATATTCCGGTTTGGTAAATCATGCTGCCTGCTTTAGTAATTATGTCAGTTTGATCTCATTTCTCCTCATCAATGAAAATATCCAATTCTTCTTGCATTTTACCCACACTCAGAAATTTGGCATATAGACCATGGAAACACATCTTCCTCTTTCCCTCAAAGTATTGATTTACCTAAAAGTGGACCCAGTAGCATGGCTCTGGTTCCATTTCTGGATTTCTGCAACATTATTGCCCTGGGGTCTGATAGTCTAAAGTTACTCTGCTGAGTTTCAGGACAGAGACATTTAGTGGATTAGGCTGATGTGAGAATTATGGCTGTTCCTTATCAGGGCAGTAGGCAAACTGACTTTGTCATTCATAGTTACACATCACAGGTCTGGATCACTAGGAAGTAGTCACAATACAAAGATTTTCTCTTCAGAGACCCAGTGTTGTTGCCTACACTTTGCAGGCTCCAGCATGGCTTTTTTTGGTGTGATGGAAGCACACATATATGAACAGGTCTGCATATAGTTAATTTCTTCTGCCTTTTTTCCTCTAAAATCAGTTGTTTCTCCTATCAGCTGTGCAACAGCATGCAAATATTACTAAATCTGAGGTCAGCAATAAAGTAAACGTGCACTCACAAGAGCATATTTTCATTATTATATCACTGTTATTACTGTGGTTATGAGGAGAATTGCTTGCAAAGCACCCAGCCATTAGCTAGCGTATTAGCCAGTAAGGCAGTGTACAGACACTCAGGAAAGAATATCAAGGTCACAACAGTCAACAAAGTGACAACTCAACACATCTGCAAATTTGCAGAAGCGGAGCATGGTCTGCTTTGCAATCCATGTAGCCATAAATTGTCTTGCACACCTCATCTGAGGGACTGTGTCTCCCTAGATTGTCCTGGGGAGTTTAACTCACTGGGTGATGTATTTCACTGTGGAGGACACTGTCCAAATCACTCTCCCTGACATGATGCCTGTTGTGAGAACAGGTTAGACAGGCCAGTTTGGCTGCCTAGCAGTGCTGTAACCTGTATCCCTGCGAATAATTACCATCAGCGGTATACTGGTGGCTGCACTCCTTTTTTAGTTGCTAGTACTTAATGTTCAGGATGATGGCTGGACTGCTGTCCAAGCTCTTTATTATTGTGCCTCTAGTCACAGAAGGTATTCTTTTGCTGATTATTTTAGTTATCACCATGGGAAGGTGACAGGAGTGGAAGACATTTATGTTCCACTCCTTCATCTTTGTGAAGCTCATCCACCTTCACCCTAGTGCAGCATGATGGGGTAGTTACGGAGATGGGGTGCACAAGAGCTAGACCTCCAGTTCCTGAAGCTGGTGGTATCTACACTGCTATGCAGATCCACCTGTCTAATTAGACCAATGTAATGCTCTTTAAATAGCGCTGTAAGTGTGTGTGGAGTCTTTTGGACACATAAAGTGAATGTCCCCACTCTGAGGTTTTCACAGTCCAAATTAGGCTTGATGCACTAAGGGATAGTAGTAACAGGGAATGAAAGGAAGCAGCGGAGGCTGACAACAGGAACGGGCTTGCAATGAGATGAATTCTATGGACATGTTGTTAGATCCTCCTGAGCTTCTTGTTGTAAATAGAGGAAAGTGTTTTGACTTGTCAGCAATTATTTAGAAGAAAATCAGTGGCAGACACGTGAGTGAAAAAAGTGAAACCTTAGAAAAGAGTTAAAGGAGAATGAGTTGACTTGGGGCTGAGAGACAACATAGGCATTCTCTGCATGGGGACTGTTGTGAAGGAAAGAAATCAAGGGAGTGAAGAATCATGCACAAAGCACGTGCAGAGCAGCCAAAAAAGAGGAAGAGACCTCATGATAAAGTACGGGGAAGACGTTTTTACAAATAGTTGGCAGTAATTTGGTCTGGAATTATTTCATTTGGTCAATAGTGATTTGGAATTCCCTATCTGGTTAATTCCTCTTGTGTATATGTTTTAGTTACAACTGAATTTTGAATAGTCTTCAGGTAGGTTTTTGGCAAAATCCAGCACTTGAGCCACTGTGAGTTTGTCCTGAGAAGGCAAAGGTATACTCAGAAAGAAAAAAAGATCAGGGTGACAGTTTGCTCATTGGTGCTTCTTTATTGACACTTAGAGGAAAGAAGAGTCTGAACTTGTTTCATTTGATCTTGGAAATGAGGTATCTGAGTAGTTGCTGTATGACACAGTAATCAGCTTCACTCCTAAGTCTTATGCTTAGAACTATCATCTCATGCTGCAAGATGATCTCTTAACATTTTCTTATTATATTGACATGAGGGAACAAAATTATCTTCATCTGAGTCAAATAGAAGGAGCCTCTGAGCATTTGGTAAAACTGCATTGGCTACATATGTGTTTAGAATAGATTTGTTACTCATTTTTTATGTGATCATGATTAATTGGTGAACTTCAACTGTATTTTGTTGCGCAGCAATTCACGCTGAGCCATGGAGACATCTAGCAGTACAAATCCCTCTGGAGATAAGGTGTTGTATTAAGAGACTGACAGACTTTGGCTGGGCATTTGAAGGATATATTGACTTTAGAATAACTCACCAAACTAATGCCACAGAGTGAAATCTACAAAGATGCAGCTATTAAATACTGCCACTCCAGCTATCTAACACTGGAAACACTTGGGAGTGAGATGCAGCATAAGAGAAAAATAGAAATTATTTTTCAAAGCCAGTTGGCATCTTGAGCTTATTGTTTTCCCGGACAGCTGGGCTGTTGAGGAAGCCTTCTTACCTCCTGGGGAAAGAGAGCAAATGCTCTTCCTCTCTCTTGCGATGCCCTCGGACTCATGCCTGAAATGGTATTGACAGCTCTCCAGAAGAACTGTAGCACATCCATTTTTAATGGCAGGCGAGCTGTTCAGCATAGCAGGGGGTGCATGAAGCTGAACAGGCAAGCGAGGGGAGGATGCTGTAGATCTCCACACATCTACATACTTGTCATTTAGACTGGCTAATTTGTAGTTCAACAATATGTCAGAATAAATGATCAGTGATTTAAATGAAGTACTTAAGACTGAAGAGAAGGAATATTTCTTAGTGGTTAGATCAAGGGACTGGGAATGAGAATTGTTGAATCTTGTTTTTTCGTAGCTCCATTACTAACTCACTGGATGACCTTAAGCAAGTTAATTAACCTATCTGCCATTTCATCCCTCTGTAAACTGGGGATAATAATGTCTGCTTCAGAAATGGGTTGTGAAGAATAATTGTTTCTTAGAAAATGCTTCAGCTTCCCCTAGTGAAAAACATACTACAGAAGTAAAGTATTATTTTTACTTTACCAACAACATGAGCATAATACTTTAAAAGGTAATAGTAACAAAGATGCATCTTTCTTGGCTGGAACAAAGTATTGCGGGGGGAGGAAAAAAGGAAAAATATTAAAATGATGGAATCAGTTGAGAAGAAATAATGGAGACATCTGACTCACTGCTGATAAAAGCTCTTGCAGTTTCTCTTCCAT